ATCGACCATAGATATCGGTGTAATTTCCATTTAACGACGTCCGCGACGTGAAAGATACGCCGTCGTTATTTCAAAGTTGAAGAGTGCATATATCTCGATGATCGTGCTGCAATGGAGGTGGATAACAGATGAGCAGGCTTTCTACTGTAAAATGTGAAAAGCTGTGTGTAATTATTGAAAATACGGCGTGACACGTAAGAAACGTCCCCCGAGGAATTACATTAAGGAGCAAAACTGAACACACTGTACGACATTTTAACAAAAGTAATTTTTTATTCAATATTTGCGTGTACAAAGGAAACAAAATACTTGGTATTATCTACAATCTTCTGGCTTTTCAAAACAAATTTAACATTTGTGATGTTATTATTATTTCACGGTGCAAAACCGACTGTATGAAAAAAAGAAAAAATTGTATGAAGCGAAATAATAATGATATCACGGATGTCCCTTTTGTATTCTTCATGCAATTATTGATACATAACGGTTCGGTCACTCGTTACGGTCCGCAATTAGTTGCCAGCGCAAGTGGTTAATTTCTTGCGCTAGAATGACGTGTCACGCACGTTTTTTGTCCCAAAATTGCAAGTATTTTCTCAGTTTTAAGTATATTTAAACGTAACCCAGACAAAACAAATAATAAATTTATTACTTCTCAGTAATTTCTATCCAGTGATATACCGACGAGTTCAAAAAGAAAGTGACAAATTATTGTGTACGGTTCGGTCGCTCGTTATGGTCCGCAATCAGTTGCCCAGCGCAACAGGGTTAATTAAGTTTCACGCACAAAAACATAATCTTTGCAATCCAGTGGGTTTAATTCGCGAACGATGACGGTCGAAAATTTCAGATTAATAGATTTACCCCCCCATCCTCCCTGCGCTCGATTATCAGCGGATTACGGTCGATTTCAATTTAAATCGAAATTCAAGATACGCTGGGAGTGCTTTGGGGGGGGGGGGGAGAGATTTTATCGCGAGTCATGGTATTCCGCGCCGCGATAATATAGTAGCAGGTCAGCTTTATTGACGTTAAGTGCACTATACGTAAGCTCGGCTGCAATCTGACGCAGAAAACCAGGCTCTTTAGCCTTAGCAACGAATTCCTTGCGTTATCGATTGTACCTTGAAATTAGCCTTTGTCCTGCACGACGCGTCACGACGAAGCCACTAAGTAATTAAGCGAAATTACTCGGCTGGCCGCGAAGTGCGTGCCGCGACAACAATAAAAAGAGAAAAAAATGTGTATCGCGCGAAGGACCTTCGTATCGTATGTGGGAGACGCGTGTTATAAGAAGAGGCTGCATTCCTATGCAACGTGTGTTTATTTCTGCTGTCTAAGAGTGAAACCTTGACTCTGGCTGATTCTTGAACTGGATAGAAACGAGTTGGGGAAAGCAGGATAAAACTGGACACCATGGTTTTTCTAAAACGTAGGAGCTTCGATACGATCAACTGAATTATAATATTGGGTATAATATTCGGCTCGAAGGGTTTCATTTGTTTTCCGCGAGTGAAGTGGTTTTCACATTCAGGAATCCATTCGTGTTCTAATATTTGTAATATAAGACACAGTTCTTTTCCTATAGATTATTTTGACCTTTCTGTCTCGCACCAAAGTATAAATCTTTTGTCAATAATTTCTATCCAGTGATATCGTACCGACGAGTTCAAAAAGTCACTACAGCTTCAATCTTTAATATAATATATAAAAACACATATAATAAACAAAATATACAACAATATATAATAAAAAAAAAACACACTAAATGTCAATGTATTTAACTAGAATATAGGTATATTATATTAGGTATATTAGGCATAGGTTATAACATATTATATATTATAGCATAACATGTTATAATAAGTAAAATTATATATTTAAGTAAAACAAAATAGGCAAAGCAAATGATAAATTTATTACTTATCATTTCTATCCAGTGATATCGTACCGACGAGTTCAAAAAGAAAGCGACGAATTGTTGTATACGGTTTGGTCACTCGTTATGGTCCGCGCAAGGGGTCAAAAAGTTCGCTCCGATCAATCCATATGAAGCGGCGTATATGAAGCGACGACACGCGAAAGCTAATAAACGGGCGTATTCTTCGTCTCTAACTGTTTTTCAATGGGGTGACCGCGCGCGCATTTTCACGGAGAGGAGATTTGCACGTACAAATGAAATATAAACGATCGAGCCCAGTGGCTGGAACGGAGCGAACAGAAGGGACGTTGTCGAAGCATTTCACTGGCAATTCACCGCCGGATCGTTCGGCCGTCCGCTTTCGTTCTCTTTTTCCAACTCGTCCGATCGATCGGCCATCGGTTTTATTTTTATTTGCTCATTCCAATTATTGAAATCGAGGCCGTTTTCGTCGTCGGCCGGAATTTGTTGCCGGATACCAATCAACCCGAGTTGACAACGTTAATTAGTTTCTCCAACTCCAGGAACTAATCTGTTTCGAAACCTTTCGTTTCTTTTTCTCCGTCTCGTTCGTTTTTCTGCTCCCTTTTTTTTGCCGCAAGGAGAGTTTGTTTCTGCAAGCGAACATTCCGCTTTCCCGCGAGTCGAAAACGGGTCATCTCATTTAAAAATCAAGATCCAACTGTATAACTATGGACGCCATTTTGAGTGTAGATGAGGTAATTCTCGAGACAAATTATCGTAGAATATTCCCATAACCGTTAAGTTTAAGACCAATGTGGTTTAATACTTTTTTACTTGGAATTTAATATTCTTTCTATTTACGATGAAAAAAATATATGGTCTAATTAAAACAAAAAAAAAAGCTATAAACGTATAAAATCGAAATTTATCGATTGAAGTACATATTTTGAAACTTGGATACTTAACTTGGATACTTTACTCTTAAAGAAATGTATCGTCATTTGAGACTCTATTTTGTGTTTCTTAAATCTCTCCCCGATGTATCTCGAAAGAGAGAGAGAGAGAGAAGGAGAAGAAATGAAGTGGGAAGAAGAACAATGACTCTGGCTAAAAGTAGTATTGTATCAAGTTTTCTTTAGTTCTCCTCAGTTCTTTTTACTCCTTCTTCGTAGTGTTACATTTTTTCATTTTTCTTTTTCCCTAGTCGACACACTTTTTCGTTTACATCTGACTCTTTCAATTTCTTTCGTCGTTGTCTTCTCATAATTTTTATAATTATCACGTAAATTTATAATTAACATTTCATAAATTTCTTTATTTTATGAAAATATTCTTATTTATTTTATGAAAATTTCTTTACTTTTTGTTCGCTCTTTCTTTTTTTTTTTTTTTTTTTTTTTCGATAACTTCCATCGGAATCTTCCCTCGGAATCCGATGATACTCGTTTCACCAGAAAGCAGAACCTGCGTTTTGAACAATCTTCGCGCGGTCGATTACAAAAATATTTATTGCTTTCGAGTATTTATAGTTCCCAACTGCGGATACATTCCGTTTATAATCAACTGCGTTAGAAAAAACACACTCGGTGCTACGAAGTAGTAGATATCAGGGAATCGAGATTTTCGTTTCATTCACCTACGTTTGTCTGTTTTTTCAGTGCTTCAGTATCGTTCAGTATCGTTAATTATTGAAACAACAGCGAAATTCAAACAGTTTTTTTTTTTTTTTTTTTTTTGTAAAACTGTCGCGAAGCGTAGAGAATTCTTCCTCCAGCGAGTCTCCGCAATCGATGGACCTGATTATAAACGGATCAATTTAACCTGGAATAATTGCTCTCCCGGAGCTGCTCGTTAACCAAATTCCCTAGCAATCTTTCGTCAGCACCCTCGAGCATAATAGACTGCCGGTCTCGTCTGACCTGGATTTCCGATTGCACCGTCACTCGTGTAATCTCTTGTACTCCGTGGACACCCTGGTATCCCCTGTCCACATCTCAATTATGTCGCCGGTAATCATGCTAATGTTTGACCGATCAGGCTATCGATCCTGACACGTCGTTAATATCGTATTTAAGATTCGGTGATATTAATATTTAGCATTGATTAATCGAACGTTCGAACGTTTTGTTGCAGTATTATTGTGGAATAAGTAAGTATGTGCAAAGACTAGAATCAAGTTAAAAAAAAGTTCCGTTTCAGGTGTAGTTTATATATAGTATTTGATAATATTTGAATTGAATATGATATTATATTATAATTATATTAAATTAAATTAAATAAATTTAATTATATTATATTATATTATATTATAATTATATTAAATAAAATAAAATAAATTTAATTATATTATATTAAATTATAATATATTTGAATACATATATAATATTTTATACATAATATTTGATGATATTTGAATTCACTGGTTGACCTCTGCGAAGAGAATTTTCAAACTTATGAAATTCCAAATTTATGAAAATAGCTTTACGCTTTGTGAGATGTTGAATATTACCTGACTGATGAAATTGATCAACTTGATAATAATAAATTATTGTTATTATTATTATACGTACAATCAATCTTTAATGCGAATACACGTGTGTGTATATATATATACACGTATTCATACACATTTATACACGTATTCATATTAAAGATATATAAATACGTATTTAAATACATCACGTGGCTGCGATGAATAGTTAAATCGTAGGTAACATCTTTAGCCGTGACAAAGTTTCTTGTTAAGGACTAAATTATCCCCTAACCACGCCGTAAGCACGTTTCTAAAGTGATTAGTGTGGGTTGGCATGCGGCAAACAGTGAAATAAGGAGAGGAGTGTTCACAGTTCTGTCTTGTTCTTCTTGAGGAATAATACTGGAAATTTTTTCTTTTTTTCCCTCTTTCTTTCCTTTTGTGAAACTTTTTCAAAAATAAATGTCGATTTGATGAATATGTTTCCACCTTTGTTTAAATAACTTAAATAAGTCGCGTGACTGTTATTTTAGATATTTACATATATTTTTCCTTCAGTTCAGGAATTTTTGTTACAATTTTTCGAGAATTCGATGTTTAATGTAGATTTTCTAATGAATTATTATTCAGGGAATTCCACGAATGTAAATTCAGTGTGCGATAATATTGATGTTATTATTATACAGATCTGTGCTGGCAACGTGAACAAAGAGAAAAATGTGTGCAGTGTATAGGGTACAAGAGTTTAAAGTTTAAAAATCAAACAATTAATGTTGAAATGTTGAAGCGAATATAATCTGTTAATAAGTTAATAAGCCGACGGTAATGTGCTATAATTCTATTGATCTTTGATTCAAGATTCAATAGAAGTTGCTACAATAAAAACTTTGTTATTCCTCATTCAAAAACTCTCTGGTACTTTTTACATAATACTCTCGTATCATCTCAAGTTCACTTTTGTATTAAAATTCTATGCTAAGTTGCTTCACTTTTCTGTTACAGAGTCACCAACAAGACCAAAAAAGGAAAAACATGGGTTCAAAGCGTAATTAATAAGCAAGAAAGTCGAGAGAAGAAAAGGAAGATGAATATAACATTCGCTATTTGACCAGGACCATCAATCAGCAATACAAATTCAGTACAAAGATAAAATAAGGAAGAAAGAAACAAAATCTAAAGGCAAATCAAAGAAGAAGAAAAAAGAAAAAATGAACGAAGTGAAAAAATTCACGGAATGAAGTTTTAAACTTAAAGAGAGCAGAACCAAGAGAAGAAGAAAAGAAAAAAAAGAAACCGAGTCGAAAAAAATCGCTTCCAAGGCAAGTACAATAAAGGGATAAAAAAAGAAGAGAGGTGAAATAAGGAACGAACTTTGCGAGGACAATCTAGAACAAAGTTACCTAATTAAATAAGAAATCAACGGTACATTAATTATTAAATCGAATTCATTATACGTATTTCTATTGACGACTGAGAGTATATATGTATATATGCATCTATATATATTATATATTGAAGGTTAATACACAAGAGATTATTATTATTAATCGCTGTTGTTAAGAGATATTTGATGTTTTAAGATATTATCGATGCAAAAATTACTACCGAGAGAAATAAAGCAAAATATTTTGATTTTGTCCAATTAATATTAATTTGATAAGCAAAAAAAAAAAAAAAAAAAGACGAATTACTATACGAGATAAACGAATTAACGAGAGACTATATATATAAAAATATTGAAAGCAGAATGGAATGATTATACGATAAAATAAGAGGAAGAAAACAATCAGTTTATGGAGAGACGATATTATAACTGTATTCGAGAAATTATATGTAGATGTTGAAGATATATTATTGTATAGTTGTGTGGTATCCATAGGATCCATATTTAAAGAGACTATCGAACAGAATTAAGTTTATTTTAAATTGTTATTACTGAATGTAAAGGAAAAGAAATATTTCCGAGAGAAAGAGGAAACGTCGAAAGAAGGAAGAATATCGAAGAATAGAGGTGATTATCAAGTGCCAAATATTTAATATACATAACACAGTATTACACATATTTTATTGTTTATTTTAATGTCTCTTTATTTTACTGTTTATTATACATATTATATTGTAGATTTTAAGATTTGGTTGTGTTATTTTTTAAATTATTTGCGATCTGATACCATTTTACTGATTATTTTGATTTTTGGTTTGATCGAGGTATAATAATTTTTTAAAGTGAAAGGTATTTCTTTCCAAGTCTATATAATTTTTCACTGAATGAAAAATTTGTGTTGAAGCAAAGTTTATGGATAAAATGGATCAGCACGTAATTGTCATTAATAGTAGTTACTCCAATATTTTTTAAAAGCAAAACTACGACATTATTTGTCTCCCAGTGAGGACTTTTTTAAGATGAAAAAAATTCCTTTCCACTTGTAAATTGGGATCTACTATTTAAAATTTAGCATGGCATTTTTCAAAAATTTTCATCATTGCGTCAGCGGTTTCATTATGCAGAATGTTTCTTCGACATTTAAATTAAATGTCTGAGTTGAGAAAGATTTTCTTTTGAAACTGTCAGGATCGCGGCACCTCCCTGAAGCACCACCCTACTTTTTCTTCACTTAACGATTTAATCATTTAATCTCTTTGGATCAGTCTGAGCTTCAGAACATCTTCGCGAGAAGGAGGAGGAGAATGTTGCTCTGAATTGCGAGACTAAGACGTCAAGGCATCAAGATGAATCTGGAAGTGGAACTTATCGCGGGGGTGATTATGGGCGGACCGCCCCCTAAAAATCTGCCAGCGCCGAGGCTCATTAAAATCTTCATCGCTGGAGAACCGAATGGTCTTATCTTCTAATCACATACTTTTATCGATATTCTGACTTGTTCTGTGTCCGGTGTCTTTTAAGTGACACATTTTCTTTTTTCCTTTAAATAGATCATTTTTAAACATTTGCCTAATGAACGAAAGAATTTTTGTTACGTATTCAATTACTTATGGCAATATTAATCTTTGAAGAATAAAATTTGCCAATTTTTCTCTCGATAAAATCGGCTGAAAGAATTTTATTGAAATTATAAGATTATAACAGCAAAAAAATGTGTCATTTAAAAAAAAAAAAATACGTTTATTTATAACACGTGTAATGCCATATTTAACCTATTAGGCGCCCAGATGTGACTCTAATGAACATTTCTTAGCGTCTGTAATTAAACGTGACCGTGATTGTAATTATAATATTTCAATATATATTTATTTCATTCTAGGTGTCTAATGGGTTAAAATAACGTAAAATGCTTCGTTTGTTAATTTATGAAATCGTGCCGATCTATGTCCACGTACACATTTGTTTGTCTGTGAATTGATGTGACCAATTTATTAATTATCCTCTCTCAGTTCGTGTGATCGTCCTTTTTACATGCCTGTTTAGTTGTCGATTTTCGTTCACAATTGTTTGTTGAACTTGTTCGTTTAAAGGAGCCATGTAAAGCCTCGGTAAGATTTCAATTTAGTTTTTCAACATTATTGTCTCGAATTTGTCGTTCACTTGCTGGATTTGATGTGTTGTACATTTGCACATCCATTTGAAACCCATACGGTGTACGTAGCGCCTCAACTGCTTGCGTTTTAGACGACGAATGCGTTTCTCTGTCTACATACACGTTATTTCTTTTCGATGTATTTGTCACGAATGTTCAATGTATATACTATACTATACATATAGTGAAAGAGAAGAGTTTGAAAGTGAGTATATATGCCACGTACAGTGATTTGCAAAAGCAACTTCGATCGAGCAGATTCACGTCAATTCTCTGTCGAGAAATTTCGGAGGGCACGAAAGATTATAATTTTTTCACTTAACGACACTTTGCGTTATAGTTTTAAGAGGAAAGGAGTATGACGACACGATATAATACTACGAAATTAATACGTGAAAGAACGAGTGGACTTCGAGAAGACTTTTGCACAACGCTGTATATTTTGCTCGCATGAACTGGTGAAGGCAACGAGGGGAAATTAATGAACTTTGTTAATCGTTCAATAAAGCAGTTTGTTCCATTCACTCGTTTGTTTGTCTATGTGTAAAATTCTCCATTTTCCCTGCCAGTGCTTTCATTCGATGTCCCCACGCCCACTTTGTTGTTATTTTATTTCATTGCACTGTTGCATCGTCGTTTTTCTTTTTTTTTTTTTTGGAATTTTCGTTCAGCTCATCAACGATCTTTATTTTTAGAACGTGTCGTTGCGATCAGCATGGATATCCGTGGAGAACTGTGGAGAAGTTTGGTTTTGCGCAAAATTGCTCCAATAAACGAGGATACTTGCTTAAAGAGTTACCGTCGCGGAGTTTCTGATCTGTCGAAATGATTAAACTTTTATATTTCGAGAGAATTAAGAAGCGAGAGAAATTACATCCTCCAAGAAGTAAATAATGTTACGTTTATCCGTCGCAGCGATTTTTAACGTTACTGTTTTTATGGAGTTACAAAGTTATTTTTTAAAATCACATCTCTTTCCAAATCTTTTTTCACAGAAACATAAAATGAATGCAAAACCAGCCGAAAGCGGGAATAAAATTCGAGAAAAATAGAATTCTCATCAAGTGAACATCAATGAACTTCAAGATTTTTAGAGAAGATAAATTTTCCAAGATATTTTCTCTATTTTTTTTTTTTATGTTAATTTATTAGTTAAATTTTTCGTTGACTTCTATTTGTAGCAGTAGAAGATTGTGCAGATATTTATCGGTGTTTAATCAATATTTATTGTACATGTTCTCTCCCCTCCCTTTGGGTCACGGCGTTATAACGTTTTTTGTTTGTTTCTAATATTTGCAGAATTTATAGAGGAAAGGAAGCAATTATTGGAGCTTGTCGGGCCTGAGCTGCAATCGATTTACGACGACATGGGGATCGAGGTATGAAAAAATGTGGAATTTTCTTAATGAATTTCGTTTATGCCGCGTTAAACAAAAATTTAATTTAATCAACGTTCCTGTTTATTTACTTTCTTCGCCTCGTTTCTCTCTCAAGGAGTAGTTTAACCCATCCGCTACTAAGTAAATTCATTCCTCCTTTAGAAACATAAATTTTCCATTTCTTTTTTTTCTTTTTTTTTATTGAGAATAATATCTACGAATCTCTTTGTACAAATCATCGTGATTTGGATTGTTCCAAAGTGAAATGAAATTAAAATTGAAATTAAAATCTTTCATCCGCACTTGGTTCGAAAGAACTGATTGATGAGAAATAAAAACACCGCAGGTTCTATTGATGGATATGCAATACGCAACGAATGCGAACCCCGACAAAAATCCATACTTAGCTGAACATTTCCTCGACGAAATACACGCTGCTTATCGACACTCGAGGGGCTGTTTCTTACTAGTAAGTTTATATTTATCCTGGAATTTGCAAATTTTAGAAAAATCAACAGGGAACCAATCCGAACGAATTCCTTTGGGAAATAAATAAATATTTATCTGAAGCAACGCGGCCAAGGCTACAATATTTTCTTAACTTTAAAGTTACTGATCGGCGAGGAGTACAACGTTGGCTGGGTACCAACGAAGCTCACTTCCGGAACGTACGAACTGCTTTCGAGTCACTGCGACAGCATGGAAGAGTACTATGAACTACGCGACGATGATGATTGCTATGTCCTAAAGGTTGACAAGTGAGTGGTTACGTTTTATTATGCCGTTGCATGGAAATAATAATGGAAATGGGAAAAGGCGTGAGCAAGGATAATAAAAACGAGCTGCTGCTTTTATTATGTCTGACCTACAATCTCCATGTCCCCGTCTCTATTATAATTTTCTTCTTTTCTCTTTTTTTTTCTCATTTTCTTCCTTTTCTCCTTTCTTTTCTTTAATTCTTCTCTTCGACGTTGGCACGCTCTTTCATTTCTCTCAAAAGTTTTTATATACAGCGATACACGTATATCCATATACATTTGATCAAACAAAAACTTTCTGAAATTCGTGAAAAGTTACGTGCTCCGGGGTAAAATAAATACTGAGTTATAAATATTTATGGACTTATTTGCATATATAAAGGAGCAAGGAAATGACGTGCGAATGCGTGCACGGAACGAGGTCGTTTAAATTTAAATTTCGCGTTTAATTGTTTTTATCAAGAACGGTATTGATCACGGCGATTTATCTCATCAGCACCAAATTTCTAACTATAAATTGCGCAATCCTTCCACGGGTTTTCTCTCGTTCTGGCTAATTTTTTTTCCCCCCTCATCCAATTCATTTTATCCTCTTTCTCTCTTTTAATAGGCTTCCTGTCTTCCCTTTGTCAACCTAGCTTTGTCACGTCTCTATACAAGATTTCCCTGTCACCTTGAATATCCTTTTTCATCCGTTCCAATTGTTCTTTTCCTCCTTTTTTCCTTCTTTCTTTCTTTTTTTTTTTTTTTACCGCCTTGTTACCGAGTGTAACTCATTCTCCCGGG